TATCATGAGTACTAGCAAAATGTAGCTTCGTTAAATTATAACTGTGTGAACTTAAATTGAGAGTTTTAAGGATCGGGTTAAGAAATCTTACACTGAAGACATTTTAACTTGTATATTAGATGGAACTAGATGATGTTTAAGGTCCCTTCCAACACAAGCCATTCTAGATTACAGATTTTAGCAAAGCTTTTGTAGCACAGGTTTCTGCCAGTGAGAGATGTCATGCTGTAGGTTTGCTAAAGGATTTGCTAATTAAAATTAATTCTCATGGGCAGTCAAAACAGTATTTTGATAAGAGTTGGTGTTTGAGGAAACCAGTAGGAATTTATGAGTTGGAAAAGAAAAGCTTTCATGTTATTACTTCTTTACCATCTGTTATCTTTTTCTGTGGGTTACAATAGATCTGAAACTGGGTGTTACTCTGATTCTGCAGAATTTGTGACAGTATTTTTAAGGTGGTGTGTGTCAACGTTAGAATGAACTTAGTGGTTGACAGCACTTGCTGTGAGCACTTGTGTTGCACAAGCGTTCTGAAGTCTTTATCAGGGTGAAGTTCCTCCTGGGCTAAGTGCTCTGCACCTGCACAGACTGTCATCCAAATAACTGAGAAATGCAAAAAAGTGATTTAATTACAAGCAATGTGTCAAACAACGGGTGTTGTTTCCTTTGCCCGTATCCTATATTTTGTCATATCTGTTTCTTGTGTTCAGTGACAGCTGAAATAATCTTGTTCAGTCTGATTGTTTGCACCCGGACTTGAGCACTCACCCCACAAATAAGGGGGAATAGAGTTTATTTTGTGTTATGGATAGAATTTTAGTGTCTGTCCTATCTTATTTTGGAGCTCTGTGCTTTTTTTTTTTTAAAAAAAGTTTTGCTTCATTTTTGGGGGAAAGAGATGGGTACTGGGGATAAAGGAGGAGATGCAGTCTGACTCTGGGTTGGGGGTTATATTTTTCAGCTCTCTGACAGTGTCATTGATCGGATGAAGGAACCTTCCTCACCCAGTGGAAGACCACAGTCTCAGCACCGACCGGCATCTGGTGCAGGTATGCCTGTGTTTTCCTGGTTTTTGATGTGAGGAAACAAATCAAATATGCCATTCAGAGCATTGTACTGAGCTCATTACCATTTCACGGAGATAATTTTTTTGGCATTAACTTTTTTTTCTCATCTCCTTTTGAGGAAGGAAGTAGTTTGTAGGCTTTTAGAGGAGTTAAATTACTCTTTGTTTTCTTCTGGCTGATGTTAAAGTTTAAAACACCACTGTTTATTAGACTTGGTTTCCTAGGGTGCTATCCACTGTTAAAAATATTTAAAAAGAAAAAAAACCTGGGTAAGGCAATTACCTGTTTCAAATCTGTATTGAGTTCTGAACTGAAAATCCTTGCATACTTAATCAACAGTGAATTTTAGTATAGTGAGCTTCTGTTGAAACATACTTAAGCAAACATTACAAGAATAATATCCTATTTTCCTATCACGGAATAGTGGAAATAAGTCATAGTTTATACAGATCGATGGCTCACAATCATGGCTTTCTTAAGTTTTTATCTTTCTTTATTGAGGCCTGTTCAGATGCATCAAACGGGCTTTGTGCCAGGCAGCCTGTAGTCTAATTTAAAATATTTCAGCACAGTGAACACAACGTAGCTACTGAAGGAGTGAAAATGAATGGCAGAGATGGGAGCATGTGATTTGTGTTTGTCGACTGTGTGAAACCTGTCAGGTTCAAGTAAGGCTCCTTATCAGTGCTCCAGAGATGTTAATGATATCAGTATTCCCTAAGGGCCTTTTCCCTTCATACTTACAAAAGAATCCTACCAAAACTCCACACACTGATTAAAAACAAGACCTGTGGCAGTAGTGAGCCTTGCAGCAAGGCCTGAATGAACAGAATGCAGCATCTTTTATCTGAAGATAGAAAGTTGGTTTCCTGTGGCTGAAGTAAAGGGGTCTGTGCTGTAGGTGTCTATATCCCAGCTGGGCTCCCTCTGTAGTGAGTAGAAAGAAACATTTTGGGTGACAGTTCATCTGGCTTATTTGAGATTTTTACTTTAGGAGGAGATGAGTTGCCCTCTAGGAGCACCAGGGCGAAGAGGTCAGATATAAGTCTCTAACCATATCCAGCAAGTCCAACATGGGGTGTTTTACAATTATGGGGACCCTCAAATGGTGCTGCTTTAGAGGTTTGTTTTTTTCCTTCATAAATAGGAAGACTGTGACCTAATGCAGGCAAGGAAGATATCGGTTTTAAAAATTACTTAAATGGTGACCTGGCTTGTGAAATGTACTTTACCCAGTAAAATTGGTTAGAATTTAAGTAAGGTTTGAATGGAGTAGGGCTTTAGTTTCATGCATAGACTACCAGATTGTCCATCTTTTTCCCAAATAGTAGCCTTCTCATTATATACGTGTGTTTTACTGTGGTGAAGAAATTATTCTAGATAAAGGATTTATATGAAATAATACCTGCACATCCTACCTGCTTTCATGGCGCTGCTTGTTGCTTTTTCATCCTTAAACCTGACTTAGGGAAGTAGTCTTGTGAATAACCATTTATAATTTTGGGGATGTGATGACCAGAGATGAAGTCTGTAATACCTCAGTAATTCTTTGATAATTCATGGTATGTACCTATCTTGATCCTTTATTTTCTTTCTCTTTGTGTGTTGGAAATAGTCCTTTTTTTTTTTTTTTTAAATTTATTGAAAGGCTTAATGAATTGCTTGACCGTTACAAACTTGGAAAATGTTATGTGTATTTTTGCTTTAAGAACTAGTGATTTAGGTGAAGTGCTTGTATTTCCCTCGGAAAGTATAATCGTTGTTATATCTCAGTTGCTAAAATGATTTGTATTTAAGAGGATTAAATTATACTTAAGTACATGTTGCCACACCATCCATTCCTCTTTCATTGAATGTTTTTTGACGAAGAATTACAAACCATTGAATTTCTTTGATGCTGTAAGAACAGTCAACCTACTTGTTTATTTTGTAGCTACATCTACACTTGTCAGAGTCGGTGTTTGTCTGCTAAGGTGGCATTACAGGAAGGGCAGTCGCTTCAGAGCTGGTGCTTCATCTTGAACTGCTCTGTGTTACTGGCTGCGGGGGCTGGATCCCAAATCTGGGGATCTGCCTTCTGGGGTGCAGCAGTGCTGGGGCTTGGTTTCTTGGGAAAACCTCTTCCATAGATAATAAGAGACCTTTCTCCAGCCAGCTCCTCCGGTCCTGTTTATGAATCTGGCATAATGACTTGTTTTTCTGACATAGTGGATCACTTGCTGCTTCTAAAGAGAGGGTGGTGTTTGGAGGATGGCTCTGGCTTTTGGATTACCAGCTGGGCAACTTTCAAACTTGACAGTTTGTTAGCCTGCTTTTATATCTTTATACATTCTAGACAAATCACACTTTTCTACAAAAATAAAAAAGATGTCTAGAGGGAGAAACATTAGAGCTATTAAAAACAGCCCTTTCTTTAAGTCAAGTCTTTGATAGCTTTTGGTGGAGGAATAATGGATTAGATTACATGAAAGAACGTGTATCATGTTGCTTGCCAATATATGATGAATTTATTGACTTCAGTTTGGGGTTGGAAAATGAAATTACATACACTTACAATGAAATCTGACATCTAAATACTACATCTTAAAACATCCTTGCTTGCTTGGATCATTTTCTGACTTCTGAGTAATATTAAATGCACTAAAATATTTAACAAGTATAAAATCTTTAAAGTATGTCTGTAATTCCTAAAGCAATATTGATGAAAAGTAATTTGGTCAGAGGAGTACTTTTTTTTTTTTTTTTTTTTTCTTCTGTGTATTATACCTAAAGCTTTAGTCATAACAGACAAAGGGAATGGTTTAATTCATTTTAGCTTAGTGGATATCTGAAAAGCTAATAGTCTATTATGGAGAAAACAGAAGAACAAATGCTTAAATTATCAAGACTCTCTTCATCTCAGACAGCCATTTTTTTCCCTTTGCAGAAAGAGATTACACTGAAGACACAGAGGAGGTTGTTTTTTTTTAGTTTAACTGTATTATTGTTATTATGCTATCATCATGAGAATAAATCATAAAGGACCCATGTCATGAAGTATGACATGTTGTGTAGGTGTGTAATAAGGTGAGCACTGCCGATGCCTCCTCAGAAATTGGGTTAGACCTTGCATGTTTCCAGTGGAGAAAAAAAATATTTCTTCTCTTTGTTCATTTGTGTGAAATGATGCCTTTAACTTATGTACTCTGTTGTGTTGGTGTCTGTGTCTTTTGGTGGAGTTTCAGTGGCCCAGGGTATCTTGGCTGAGTTGAAAACATGTAAGAAAGTATTGTTCAGATGTACAGGAATGAGTTTTTGAAGAATTAGGTTCTAGTTGGAGATGCAGCCAGGATTTAACTGAACTTCAGGAGAGCAAATTTCAGTTTGTGAAGAGAGCTAGTTGGTAGGATCCCATAGGAGTCAGCTCTGAGGGATAAGCTTAGGAAAGCTGTGAAGTCCTTAAGGACAACCTTTACCTACTGCAAGAACGGTCCATTCAAGTACTCAAGAAAATTAATAGATGTATTGGTGGCCGGTCTGGTTAAACAGGGAGTTCATGATAGACCTTCAGTGCCAAAATGAGGCCAGCAGGAGGTGGAAGACTACAAAGCGAGTGGGTTTGTGGATGAGAGGAGGGCAGTAGGTGTCCTTTACCTCAGCTTCACCAAGGTGTCCAACACTCTCCCAGTATTCTTGCATCCAAGTTAGGTTGCTGCAGTAAACCAGCTGAATGACAAGTTGGGTTAAAAAACCTGATTGGATGGTCAGGGTCAGAGGGTTGTGGTTACTGAGTAGTACTCTACCTGGAGGCTGGTATCAAGAGAATGCCATCAAGAGCAGTGTGGGCAGCAGGGCGAAGGAGGGGATTCTCCCCCTCTGTT